CAGCTTATAGTTTGATTCACAGAACGTGGCAAAATAATGCTTATTTGTTTCCCTTATTTGTGTCACATTTAAATGTCTCTTAACATGAGCCTTGCTCAATGTGAAAAATCATTGAGAAAAACTAAGTTCATGAGAATGAAGCAACCTATAGTTTCCACGATCATTATTTTGATCTTGCTGAGTCTCATTAGATAACATGAATGAAATTGTTGGTTCTATCTTTTAACATGTCTGAAAACTTTAAAATGAGTAATGAAAATCACTGTTTGATGAAGTTTCTAACAAAATAACGAAACGCTTTTGAGCTATCATTTATTTTTCAAAAGAGCGTGTACTATTGAATAGCATAAAAACATAGTATGTCACGAGAAAACAGATTGCATTTCTTTCTTATATATCACATAGCAGTTGTTGTAGTTGTTGATTACAGTCTTTTTTATAGGACTGGTAACTTTGCATTCCTTGCTAAGCAATGCGAAGGAGCCTACCTTGTCATGAGTACAATATCTACCAGACCTTGAGAGAACAGACAAAAAGTCGTCTTGTGCCACATTCTCCTACTATGCATCTTGTGTCATTCCATCTCTGAAATTTTTTATCGCGTTCCGCGGTAGAATGATCTGGACGCAGAGGCCATTTTTTTTTCTAAAATCTTCTCATTTTTTAAAAAGCAATTCATTCTGAATCTGGACAGGATCTGTTACGCAAGTTTTTCTAACTTTCAATTATTCTTGAGTCATATCAAAACTATCCACGTTTTCAGACAAAACTCATCAACTTTGACATAATCGATTCACTACTACAGCATGTTTTTTCAATCAAAAAGCATTACTATATAAACGCAATCAATTTGTTTCAAGGCACTCATCGAAAGTCTTTTATCGAACACTTCTTATTAAAAAAGCAACGGTCTTGATTGCATCACCGAGATCAGTGATAAGAGGATGTTTGATTGAGTAGATGTCTCAAGTAGCGGAAAGATCTATAAAGCTTGATCTCACTAAACTCATGTATAGCATGTGAAGGATACCCCCCTCTTTTTCGACCAAAACCTCGATTATTAACTATGCATAAGGCAGGATACTCCCAAGTATTATGTGCAATTAGAAACATCATTGGACTCTAAACAACTTACTGTTACAGAGTTACTGAATTGGAGAAACTTTTTTTTCATAGTAATCCTATTGAACTTCTTTTCTGTTACTTAGCGTAGCGCACAACCCTAATTTTCTGAATCTTGGCTGCTTATGATTCCCCTCAAACTTTGTTGGATCGGTCTGTAATTTTTACCGCAGATACTTGCAAGTGTCCTTCAGGGATAAAATCGACCATTTTCGTTTTTGACTTTCCTACCCGAAATTATAGGATCCTCAAAGCCAAGACCCAGGTGTTGGCTCTGGATCTTTGCGTATTTCTCGTATAAAAAAAGAAAGTGAAACTTTTGAAAAAGCTTGAATTTACTTCCGAGAAATAGTCTTAGGCATCTCCGAAAAAATTTTCAGCCAAATAGGACACAATTTGATAGGGGTCATAATGTACCAGGATGCAAGTCTCTAGAAAACCAGGGTTTTCTAGAAAATCCCACAGAAATCTACTTCAAAATTTTTTTCATAGAAGGGTGTGGGTGTAAGTCTTCATGCCATCGACACCCACACCCTCAGATTTTAATTGATTAAAAGGATTGAAGTCGATTTTTGATGAAAATCTGATTTTCATCAATTTAGATTTCAATCAATTGAAACGATTAAAATCGATTCTTGATGAAAATCAGATTTTAATTGAGACAATCCACACTAATTCAGGAAGTAGATTACTTTTTTCAATTGATTTAGAGATTTTAATCGATTTTGATCGGAATTTCCGTCAACATTGGGAGCGTCTTTAAATAAAATGAGGTTCTTGCATTAATAATGAAAAAAGTTGTGATTTTCTTTGGAATATGTTTCACTGAACTCTGGTTGCTTAGATTCTATATGAAAAATCAATTATGATGGATTACACATAATATTGATTAAAATTAGTTACTGCGTTGCATTTTATTAAAAGATTATGTATTTATTCAACTTTTTTTTTGTTCTTTCTCGAAAATCATCGTCAATCTGATTTTTCGCAACTTTTTAATATTTTTACTCTTGGCAAGAATCATCGATTCTTCAGTTGAAAATTATTGGCATTATGTAAATGGGTAGAACATGATTGGGGATGTATCCTATCGTATCCGTTTATCGGTTTCGAGTGCTAAAGTCGAATTGGAAGCTGTCGTATACGGGCTTCAGAACTGGATTTGAAAACGGCAGAAATATGGGCGGCACCCTATTCTCGGGAAAAAGCATAGGAACCTTAGTCAGGAACCGTATCAGAAACGGTGACCAAATCCCCTACATCGTATTCGGAGCCAGGAATTGACAGGAACTGTTTCAGAACCGGAGACTGGATCCATTTGTGGAATACTGCTTCCACCATTCGCCGGAAATTCACCGTATCCGACCGTACGTCTTTGACCTGGGAGATTCAGTCTGACGCTTTGTTTTTATAGAGAATAGATCCTACTAAAGAGATATTTTGTGATCCCATTGAATATTTTTTTGAAAGTACGAAAAGTTATGAATTACCTTTTAGATAGTATCCAAAAAAACATTTTTTAGCTGCAATAATTGGTGCTTACCCAATATCTCACCTTTTCAATTCACGTAAAGTGAGTTTTTGTATGATAGAACAACTAATAGTTTCTTATACAAAGATGCTGCTTTATATATGCTAAATTTAATGCCTTGTGTCATATAACAAATATTAAACCTAGAAGAAGTAAAAAGTGACTAAGATCAGATTGCAATATTGGTTATTTCACAGTTTCTCTACCTGTAGAAATGACACATGTAAAGAAGAAAGCACTATTTCTAAATACTCAAATATTAATATTTATTACGATTCTGTGATACCGAACAGACAACAACAGTATCTATAGAATAGAAAACTCTGATAAAGCAAGTCAATAAAAATACACTAATATTCATTTCAAAAATAAAAGAAGGGTGAGTATTTTTAGAATAATTTTTGATAGGAACTAAATAGAGATCTGCGATTTTCAC